CCTGGAACGCCGCGTGCCGATTCAGCTTTCAATGAAAATATGCCTTATGTCAAGGGTAGGTCAAGTAAGTCTTTCTATGTCTGTTTCTGTCCAGTAATTTCTCTTCTTTTTAATCATAATGGTGGGGCCTCCAGTTCTTATGCCTCCTATAAGGCAGAGCATGTGCTACTGTTATTTTTAGCATGGAAAATTTTAAAAGCCCACGTGGTCCCATTTAGTTTTAACTGTGCCAGCCTTGTCCAGTTCTTTCACCCAGATAGTATTTATTTCCCGAGTGCTGTATTGCTAACTCTAGGGTTTGTAGGCAGGCGTCCTGGCCTTGCTGTTGAAGCTACATTTCAAACTTAGCTGCCTGCTTGTTTGCTCTGTGATCCTTCAGGACTGTCTTTAATTCCAGCCTTGATTTCCACTGCTTTCGGGGTTTGGAAGTGTAATCGAGTGCTGGGGCAGAAGGGAAGCAGAGGAGGCAGGGACCAGCACCACCGTAGGGTACGTCCCTACGGAGCACAGGGCCTCAGTCACTTGGGAGTTGTCCTTGTCTCTCTTCTTGTAGAGACTTGAAGCAGCTTGCCCCGAGACAGGCCTTCTTGTGTGCAGAAAGCCCTGAAAATCTGGAGCGAGTGCTTGCTGAACTCTCGGACCTTGAGAACTAATTGTCTGGCTTCTCCGTGAACTTCGTGCTGCAAACATTTCTAACCTTATAAGGGTGTCTATACTGAAGGGTTGTTTGTCCTGGCTAGGGAAACAAGGTGACTTAAAGCTGCTCTGGGACCCTAATGAGAACAAGTAGAATAAGTTGTCCTTGGCTTTCTTTTTTTAAGGTAAGCGAGTGTGTGCATTCATTCTTGTCCTCGTCTCCCTGATCTTTACCAGGAGTTTTCCATAAATCAAGTCAGCATACAGATTTGGAGAGCTGACTGCCCCCTACTCTTCCCTTGGTGTCTTAATCCCATCCTGACCTACTGTGGGGATTATTTAGCAAGTTGGAAAAGTCTCATGCCCTAGCTGCAGCTCTCCGGCCGTGCCTTGGTGTGAGGTGTGACATTTAGACCGAATTCCTGACATGCCAGAAGGACGTGGAAGTGGCTGGTGGAGCGGGACAAGCGCATACAGTGTGTGAGCTCTGCACTATTTTTGGTTCGGGACTGTATGGGGCCCGGCACGATGGGAAACGGTGCTGGTGTGTCCAGTGCTTCACGCTGGTTCTGGCTTTTACAAGCTGGTTGTCTCTGATCCAAAGCCTCTGGAGCTGCTGCACTTCCCCAGCTGGCTCCTCCTGCCTGGAGAGTGCAAGGGCTGCCGGGCCAGGCTCCCTCCGAGTTTGGCAGTGTTTAAGGCCGTGTGACTTGACAAGTTGCCATTTTCTGTTCTGCTGCTGGCAGGAAAATCCCAGGCTGTCTTCCCCCCCGTGTGTTTAAATGATCCCATTGCCCCTGCAGTCCTGAACTGGCTGTCAAATTGGCAACGGAGAGAGGTTTTTGTCGCTCTTAAACGTGTTGGAAAATGGATGTGGGCTTTAGGAGCTCTTCTGTGGAGGACATGAGAGACAAGTATGCCCTGCATCTTACAGTCGTTCGATTGAGCAGGCCATCTTCTGGGCATCACGTGAAAAGCGAAATTATGACCAGCGTATCAAAATCAGGCCGCTGAAGTCTTCCTGTTGGGTTTATGTAAGGAGATGTCTGTTGGTGTTGGCTGTGCCCTAGCCCGCCCAGTGCTTTAGGATGTCTGCTGGCATCTTGTGCAGAGCCACTGCCTTTTGTCTCTTTCTAGTTGATGGAAGGATGTGGAATTCCCATTTAACATGATCACTGAGAGTGTAATGCAGCTCTTGCTAAAACTAGTCAGGTTAAAAACGTGAAATGAAATGAGCTTCGCAAGGAGCAGTCAGCTAATCCACCAGTCCCCACTGTTCTAAATATTACAGAAGAGTGAAGACCTTTATCTTCAATGATATTACTGTTCAGAATTACTCTTGGAACTGTTTTGTCTCCCAGGCTGCGGGACAGGCCTGTCCCTCTGTGGGGCATCCTGCTACTGTCTCCCTGCGCCGCAGGATTGTGTGGGACTATTGTTTGTACTGGTCATGCAACTTAATAGGGAATCGGATAATAATAGGGCTGTCTGTTTAATCAGGAAAGCTTGCTGGGAATGGACTTATGTGAGCTACTTTAATTTGAGTTTGTGGTATGCCTGTGAGACAGCTTGTAGGGTGGTTCGGCATTAATTATAACCACTTAGGCAGACAGCAACTGAGCACTGGCGGTGGCTCACAGTGTGCCATTGTGCTGGAGAGCATAAATGTGAACCTTTCGTCTTGGGAACATACAGGCTTCACCCTTCGCATTTATCACTTTCCAAAAACCAAACATCCAAATTATTGCATAGGTTTGTTGGGGTTTTTTTTAAATTCCAAATCTCAGATGTTGCTATTAACTGAAATTTCATCCTCAGCAGTGAGCCCCTGTTACCTGACTGTATAAACCTGGCTGGAAGTAACTTGGATTTGCAAGATATCAAGTATGAATGTCCAATGAACACAGACTAAAGTTTCCTGTGTAGAACAACATAAATACCTCATTTGTGATATCCTGGAGATGTTACTGGATTTCTTAAATCGTGTCTGCAGCTGTCCTTTGATTTGGGATTGAGCAAGGTATTTTCTAGTCCCTGTTGTTGCCATTCATTTATTTACTTGCCTCGGTCATTAGGACTCTGCAGTAAACAGTACTGAAGCAAGGCTGGGGTCCGAGCTAGTTTGGCTGAAGTTGTGTGTTTGCTCCTGTGGGGTGGGAGGGTGTGGCTGGAAGAGGTGAGAAATCTGGAGTGAATGTTATGTGAGGCTTGGATGCTCAGTTTGAGCCTAAGGGAGGCATGTTGTTGTCCCTCAGCTAGAATGTAATCAGCTCCTCATGAAAATCGAGTCCCAAAGGAGAGTCGTATTTGGAAGCCATGGTCAGAATGCTTGCTCTGATAACAAAAGTTTTTTCCGGTTGAGGCAGACTAAGCATAGTTGACAGACTGACTTGATTGTCTTGTCTAAGGAATATTATGCTTCTAAAGAGGAACTAGATAATACTCTTTTCCAGTGGGTGGTTCCCATTTCTAGGACTTTGCTATCTCCTGAAAACAATCTTTATTTTTGTTGTTCACTGGTGAAAGGCTTGGGGCGTGTGAGGGTTGTCAGACACATGATGTTTTGCTTTAATTCCTGCTCAGTGAAAATATAAACTCTAACTGCTTTGCAGCCAGGCTGTTTTGGGGATGTGAGTAACTGTTTGTCTTTGTGTTCCAGCTGTAGATTTTCCTTAAGGAAAAGGAAAGGCATGCCAGCCCTGCCTCCTGTAACCCAGGTGAGGTTTGTAGAGGGAGGAGCATGACTGCGACTTGAGACAACGGTCTCAAGTTGTGCCAGGGGAGGTTCAGGCTGGATGTTAGGAAGAACTTCTTCACTGTAAGAGTCGTTAGGCATTGGAACGGGCTCCCCAGGGAGGTGGTGGAGTCACCATCCCTGGAGGTGTTCAAAAAACGTTTAGATGTGGCTCTTCGAGACATGGTTTAGTGGGTTTAGCGGGCATGGTGGCATCGGGTGTACAGTTGGACTTGATGAGCTTTGAGGTCTCTTCCGACCATAATGATTCTATGATTCTGTGAGTCTCAGTGGTGTCCAGGTGGGGAAGGGTTCACATCTTTTCTAGACTAAAAGAGACAGCTTTCAACCCTAGAAAGTCAAGAGGAGCAGCAACTGTCAATGTAGTAAATTTAGATGCAGAACAAACTTTGGAGCTGGTTTCTGAAGTAGTAGTGTCTCTATCAGCACTGCTTTTGCTAGACAAATACTGCTATTGAAAGGGTGTTCTAGCATATTTCCCCTCTTCACCACTGGGAAATCTTTTTGAGGGACTCCTGGTTATTGGGAGACACTTGCTTCATCAGGCTGCTCTTTGTTTAGGAGTTCCTACGCTGTGCATGTCCAAGTAAATGGAGTAGCTGCCTGTTGCTGTTTAGCTCCTACGTAACTGCAGACTTCTGTCGTGTGTCCGCACACCCGCCTCTTGCAGCGCTGTGGATGAGAATGTTTGCAGAACAGTTCACCTTCAGTTGTGTGTTAGAGAAGTGTGTGTTGTCTGCCTGTGAAACTCTCAGGAACGTGATGCTGCCTTTCAAGCGGAGAAGGGGGGAGACCTGCGGTGTATCCAGTCTGTGTCTTGGAATGCTTGTGGTCCAGCTGTGGTGTGAACCCAGCCTGATGCTGGAGAAGCTGCAGTGCAGGATGCTGTCCTTGTGTGTAGTACTGACCTGCAATGGTGAGGCAGGAGAGAAGGTGAAATTGTTTCAAGTGTCAAGGTGAGGTGAAATTGAGGAGTATAATGGTGAGAAATGTCCAGATACCCCTAGTCTTAGATAAGGATCTTGTTCTCTGATCTGCTGGTAGAACAGAGATATGAATTTAAAGAACAGCTGGAAAATATGCCTGTTCGTGCTAATAGAAATACCTCAAGGCATTTATGAAACTTTAGCCTTCTGTTACCTTCCCTGTGACTATTTTAACATGGTTTCTGCTTCTCCTTCTAGATGTAATTGCTGAGGCTCTGTAAAATGGCTTTACGCTTCTGCGGTGTCATCTCGTATGCCATACCTGGAGTGCTGGCACTTCTTGGCTGCTGGTGGCTATATTCCCATAGAAAAAAGCATGCAAGTTATCATGACAAACAGGCAATAGCCAGTGAAGAAGAGCAGCAGGAAGAAGTGCCAGGGAATCATTTATCACCCGAAAAAGAAGCACATGTTCCTCAAAGACTGCCTCTCTCATCAGAAGAGGAATGCCTAGAGAATGAAACCTTGACCTTCCTGCTGTCAGCAGGGTCGACGACGCCCTCTCTTCTGTGTCAGACTCATGAGAGGCTAGATCTCTCACAGGACCTTCCAGACCTGTCAGTAACGACAATTCAGCCCAGCACCCTTGAGGACGACAGTGAAAAACTAGAAATAATAGAATCTCAAGATGAAAGCGGTGTCCCTGCTTATGTTTCTCCCCCTCTGATCTCAAAGAGCACAAACTGTCATGGCAGTGCTGCAGTGAGCCTTATACAGGATTCAAGCTCCAGTGCAACCCAAGATCAGCGGCGATCAGCATCAGTGACATTGACACAAGAGTCTTTGGGAATCACGGAGGAGATCTGCAATGCAGAGCAGTCAGATGATTCTTCATTTAAGCCCACTAAGGAAGGCCAGGTGCCAGAAACTGTGCTATCAGATACTGGCTGTGTGACAGCCCTTTGCTTGGGATTGGAGAAGGAACCCAATACCCCACAAGCCTTTCTCAATAATGAAGCTGAAGTTATATCAAGTCACAAGGATTCTGCAGTGAGCATGTTACCAGATAGTGTGGAGTCTGCCTGTTTGCAACAGTCCAGGGAAGAAGAGATATCTGAGTCAATTGCCAGTACTGTACCTGTGTGTCAAGAGGAGGACACACAGCCAAAACAAGACAAATTGGAAAGAGAGAAGACTGGAGGAGTGAGTTTGGCCAAGGAAGAAGTTGAGAAAATTGAGCAAGTAGCAATACAGATCATTTCCAAGGCCATTTTGGCAGCAACTGAGGAAGTGCTGTCTGGTGCTACAAGTGATGTGTCCACTTGGATCTGCGAGGCAGCTGCCAGCCGAGTTGAGAGACCGCTGGAGATGGCGAGTGTTGTTTCTTCTGATCAGATGCTTGCGGAGAAATCTACAGTAGCCAGTGAGAACATTGCTGCAAAGGGTGATGCTGTGGTACTGACATCCCCACAAACAGAGGAACGGGATCAGTGTGTGACAGATTCCAGCTGTTTAACACATGGCTGTTTATCCAGCCCTGTTCAGGGAGATATGAAAGACTGTTGGGTAAAGAACCCTGTGTGCAGTGAGTCCCAAGGAGTTGATCAGACTCCTGTGGAAAACCATGGAGACTCACTGGAAAAGTCGCCTTTGGTTACGGAGGACTCTGGGTGCGGCACATGTGCATCTGAAGGTGGGACAAGTGTGGAGGACCCATTGCAGAACACAATGCTGTCTGTCGCATCAGGCCAGCATTCGGACTCACTGAGCATATCTGCAACCCAAGACATGTCTGCTGAGCAGAGCTCAGTACCAAGTGAAAAACTTCCTATTCGGAAGCTACCTGAAGACAGCAAAGTGCCATACAGTAATGGGATACTGAAAGAGGATGATCCAGACTTGCATAGTGAGTGTAGCAGAGCAGCAGGGGTGGATGGAGATCACTCGGGAGGTAAGGGATTTGAAAATCCTCCTACAAAAATGTGGTGAGGAAGCATTTTATGTGCTGTAACCCTTCTGCTTCAGAACATGTTCAGATAGATCCTCTTCATGTTTAACTTCCCCAGTAGATGAATATTGAGCCCTCATGTGCAGGTAGGTATATATGCATTTACTCTCTGAATTCCCATCTCTGTAGGATCCAGTGTTAGCTGGGTGATCTTCGGGGTATACTGCAGAGGGGTGAACAGGCTGGTCCCCTTTCAGCACAAAGCTTATTGTCTAAAGCTAAGCATGTGCTTGAGTAGCCCAGTGAAATGGACCGTGTCTGGATGTAGGCCAGGCTGTTGAACACCTTGCTGTTTTGAGACCTGCTAATACAAATGGTGTCTGCTTCAGCTCAGGAGGCCTCTAGTAAGCACTGGGCTCTTATCTGTGTTTGTGGGCTGCTGCTGAAAGGAAGCTGTAAGGCAGGTTTCTGAGGTGCTGCTGGATGAGCCAGGGAAGTGCTCTGATGAATTGTGATAAAACCAGGAAGCCTTTTTACTTTGAAGGGTAGGCGCGTGCCAAGAAATCCCAACAGGGAGCAATGTTCATGGAGTCCCCCCATCTGCCTCTCTTGCTTTTGCCTTCTAGATCCTGGATGGTGTGTGCCTGGCAGAGTACAAAGCTGTCTGAGCAAATGTTAACCCATCTGACCTTAGGGATGGATGTTAAAATCCTTTATGGGACCCTGTGGTGCCAACAGCCCTTAATGACAAGATGTCTTTTGTAATTGCAACGAAGTAGTTGGAATGCTGCTTGTTGCAAGAGGTCAGGATTGAGTTTGCCAACAATTAAGGATTAAACCCACAAAACGTTTTCACTAGTGAGGGTAACTATAGGATGAAAATGGTTTTGCCTTGTTTTGAATGTTGGTGTGACAAGAAGGTCCAAGAGTGTGTTGTGGAGCCTGGTGGTGATGAGGGCTGAAACCTCTGCACCAAGATGGCTAAAGGGTGGGGAGAGGGGATACAGCAGGTAAAGTTGATAACATAGCTATGTTGGATAAGAGGTCGTGCAGCTGACCTTCACACCCAGGCTGTGAGATTTAAATCCTCATGCTTGCCTAGGAAGTCTATGGCAAACAGCTGCCCTGTTTGCCTTTGACTTTCTAGGCATCTGTGCTGTGTTAGTAGTTAAGATGTGGCAAATGTGAAGCAGCTGTTGGGTTAATTTCTCTCTTTGATCTTGCACTGGATGGTCTGAATACTTGCAAGCAAGTGAGGATCTTCATGCTTCTGCTTCTTAATCTGGAGGAAGGATCAACCTTGTGTTACGCTGACTGTATCTGGGCTCTGACCAGCACAAAGCTGTTTGAGTTTGTCCCCTTCCCAAGTAGTAATGTTCCTGGTATCAGCTGATGGTTTGGCAACAAAACATAGCTCAGCTCTGGCACCTTGTTTCTTCAAGTATATGACAAATTTGGGCAAGAGGCAATCCCCTGCCACAGCTAGCAGTGGGCCCACCTGGCACTCAGGTCACTGTGCAACCCCTGTTGGGGCAGGAACGTGATGTCCATGCAAAGAGTGCGTGAATAGGTTGCATGTCCCTCCCTGCATGCCGAACTCCCTGTGAAGAGCCCTGTTTAGGCCATGGGGGAAATGAGCTGCAGCAGCAGTGGTAGCATAGCTCTTGTTCTGCTGGTGACTTTGACCTATAGTGTCCGGTCTCTGCTGCTGTGTAAGGTGTCACGGTGTCTGAAGGACTTGTGCTGGACTTGGGCCTCCTTCGATTGCATTCCCAGAGGTGTGCAGGCTATTCTTCAGGAATAAAAGGAAACTTTCAGCAGGCTATGTGTGATGGGACTTTACCCTTTCTGAAATACTGGAGAACCTGATACAGGGACATCCCAACTGAATGCATAGGAAGAGCTCAACATAACCTGTCTGTGAAAAGATGTATTTTTATAGCCTCATGTCTGGTAGCTGGATTGTGTGGGTTGTCTGAATGCTGACATGTGTGCATGTCTTGTAGGTTCAGATGTAAATACTGTGGATTTTGTGGACAGTGGCTGTGCCATGAGGAAGACAGTGACTCGCCAGAACTCTAAGCTAGGAGGAGAATCCAGCAAGTCCGACTACGTTATCTGGGAAATAGAGGTCCCAAAGGTAACCAGCCGCTGGCCTGCTCGCGCATCCTGCCCTGCCCTACGTAGCCATCTTCTGGTTCTTCCAGTCTGGTACTGACTCAGTGCCATGCGCTCAACAACAAATCAACGAGGATTTAAGCCTTTAGCTCCTGTTAGGACTCAATGGAGTGAAGAGCCAGTACACAACTGTAAACAAGAGGCATGTCAGGGCTGCGCTCAGGGTAATGTTGGTTGTTGGACTCATTATTCCCCATTGTCTTCCACCCCAATCTGTTAGTCTGATGCTTTGAAAGCATTCAGAAGGCTTTCGGGGTACACAGTTAAGAGCAGGTGATGAATTTTTTTTCTTTCCACTGTGTAGGAAGGTTATGTTTCAACTACCTGTCCAAACCCTTCCTCACAAGCTAAACGGTCATCTGAGCTATTCTGTGGAGCTGCTGTGTGTCTGTGTTTATAGTGAGCTTTCCTTTGGGTTGAGAGAGAGGTTGTGTTTTTTATGACTGTGTTCATACCTTCTTCCCTGCTTTGTATATGCAAAATCACCTGTGGCTGTCTGGCACAGCATTGCTCTTGCAGTTCTGCTTCTCAGCAGACCTGAATACTGACAGCCAGTAATGTGAGACAGCAGCTCCCGGCAGGATAAGCGTGCTGCCTTGAGTGCTTGGATGCTGTGAGCCCGGTGAAGGCATTTCATATGCATTTTAATGGATCAGTAAAACACAGGCTAAGGAAGCAGATCTACAGCAGAAAAATACATTTCAATGGTTAGTGAAGACAGGCTGTCACTTTTCTTAAAGTAGCTAACTTTACGTTGTGTAGGATTATCCTTACGGAGTTGGGCCCAACACTTCTGCTCTGGTATCTGATCTCTGACAGTAAGTGGTGGCAAGTGTCAGTGGAAGAGTTAGAAGTAACAGGATTTGCTCAAATGTCTCCTTGTCACCCTGCATGGCTGTCCAGGGACTCTGTAGTCTAATGGGCATGATAGCCTGGTTTACTCTCCTGTGAATTTGTCTACTCCCTTTCTAATCTAATTAGCTTGTTTAAAAACTGCTAAAACTTAGTATTTCATATTTGAATGAAAAATGCATGTAGCATGCTTTTTAAAAAAAAAAAGTGGGAGATATTGGGAGAGGATGTGACTTTACTTGACTGTAGGAAGGACAGTAGCCTTTACCAGGCCTGATTTTGTCCCATCATTTCTTTGTGTTCTTCTACAAGATATGAAGATGGATCTATCAAAATGAGCTGTGCTTACTGATCTGTATCTACCTTGACTTCTCACAGACCGGCTGAATTCTGCGCTGGTCCAGCATTGCCTTATATTTATCTGCTTGGCCTTATGCTACAGGAACGGGGAATGTGGGTGAAATAAGCCACGGAGAAGAGTGTTGTTTGATCTACATTTCTCTTCCTGACTGTTGCTTTCTTGTCCCTTTCATAAAGGAATTAGTTGGCCGCTTGATTGGCAAACAGGGAAGATATATGAGCTTCTTGAGGCAAGCGTCTGGTGCCAAAATTTATGTCTCAACACTACCTTATTTCCGTGACTCCCAAGTCTGTCACATTGAAGGTAAGTGGAATGTCTCTTTATTCGTGGTCTAACAGGTAGCTTGGAGGCCTTAATTAGCTGGGCAAGGAATTTAAACTGATGTAGTGGCTTTGTGAGTCCAGTGCTTTACAAAACTCTTCTGCTCAGTGCTGTTAGAGTAGAGGTATGTGCCAAGTCACCTGTGCCTTGGCATGTGAATCCTGTATTCTAGAGGTGAGAATGCATCTTTCCATCTTGGGCTGCTGTAGTTTAACCAACATCTTGTGCAGGATCACTTCAGGCTTGAAGGAGGAGCTATGGGATGTGTATCAGCAAATGCAGTCTTGACTGTGAAGGGTGTTAGATCAATCGTGGCTGAAAAAGATCTGCCAGTGAATTGGGCTCATACTGGAGGCTAAAGCTGTTGAAACTGGGGCCTGGTAGTCTGAGTTGCTCGTGCTGGTCTGATACCAGGTTACATGGCCAATCTATTAAAACTTAAATTGTCAAGGTAGTGCAGAAGGCTTCCAGTAGCTGTATTGCTTCGCAGGGTGGAGGTGTCCTCAGCATATCTATGCTACAGACTTTCTGCGGGATTTTTGTCTTCCAGGCTCCCCACAACAAGTAGAAAAAGTACTGAGCCTGATTGGCAAGAAGTTCAAAGAGCTGTGTCTCACCAACATCTACGCTCTACCTCCACCAACACCATTGACACTTCATTCCCTCTTTATGACTGCTTGGGTAAGTCCCAGATTGCTGGCTATGCTGATGTCAGGGTGGAAGGCTCTTGTCAGTCACTGCCATCGTAGTATGCTGTATCCATGTGGCTGGTTCACAGATGCCCTCAACAACAGTTTGATTATGTGTGGCTATCTGTTATCTAGCTTATAGAACTGTTACAGATCAGATTTATCTACCTGTTCTTCCATTGCTGTTTCCATTCTGCCTGAGCTGAGAAGTGTAGAATCATAGAATCGTTTAGGTTGGAAAAGACCTTTGAGATCATTGAGTCCAACTATTAACCTAGCACTGCCAATTCCACCACTAATCCATGTCCCTAAGCACCACATCTACGCATTTTTTAAATACCTCCAGGGATGGTGACTCCACCACTTCCCTGGGCA